ACCAACTGAGCCACCCAGGAGCCCCCCAGGTTATTTTCTTACCCATTCAAGTGTGAGGAGCAGTGGCCTAAAATTTCTTATCCATGTGTACAAGGAGATACCGTAAAAATATTCAACGCAGTATTTCTCTAGAGTAGCCAAAAGTTATGTTATGAACAATCTAAACTTAAATGGACAAATAAAATGTAGTATAGATAAACAAAACAGGATACCACACAGAGTTTTAAGATGGTTACACTACATTTGTGGATATCCAACATGGGGGGAGAAAATCTCAAAGATACAATGAATGTAAAAGTAAGATGCAGACATATACATAAAAATCACTGATAAAATTTTTTAAACATACATAACAATACCATTTGACATTCACATACGTAGTTATAGGAATATATGCTGAGGATACCTCTGGGGAAAAATGAAGAGAAAGGACGTGAAGAAATAGAGGACAGTGGACTTCAATTGCATACATAATGCTTTACTTCCAAAAGCAATAAAAGCTAATCTAGAAGAATGTTAAGATAGGACTATCTTGATGTTTAATAAATATTCATTTAATTATTATCTATCATTCTGTGTATGTTTCATTAAAACCTTCAATGAGGTTTTTTAAAGAATTATCAAAACATGTAAAGAACTGCTGAATCACTACATTGTACACCTGAAACTAATATAACACGGTATATTCACTATACTGGAATAAAAATTAAAAACTTAAAAAAGAGAGAATTACCAAAACAAATAAGCAAATTACAAATTACCAAAGCAAATATATCTGCAATGGCAAACAAATTCCCCAATGTAAGGGCGCCTGGATGGCTCAGTCGTTAAGTGTCTGCCTTCGGCTCAGGTCATGATCCCAGGGTTCTGGGATCGAGCCCTGCATCGGGCTCCCTGCTCAGTGGGGAGCCTGCTTCTCCCTCTCCCACTCCCCCTGCTTCTGTTCCCTCTCTCGCTGTCTCTCTGTCAAATAAAAATCTTAAAAAAAAAATTCCTCAAGTGAAAAGAGCTATTACAAAATCACTAAGAAACAGATTACATGAACAAGCAGTTCTTAAGAAACCATAACACCAAAATATACTCAACCATAATTTAAAAATGCAAAATAATGAACTACCATATTTCATCTAATTGCAGATTTAAAAATATAAAAACATCCAGTGTTGCCAAAACTGAGAACACTAGCCCCCTCTTAAATTCTGATGGGATTATAAATAAGTATAACCTTTTTTTTTTTTTTAAAGTAGGCTCCACACCCAGCATGTAGCCCAACACAAAGCTTGAACTCAGGACCCTGAGATCACAACCTGAACTGAAATCAAGAGTAGGACACTTAACCGACTAAACCACCCCAGTACAACCTTTTTGAGAGCTATTAGACATTACCTACCAAAATGTACAAACCCTCTGATCCACTGATTCTACTAAGAATTTACCCCACAAATGTATTCAAGAGATGCCCAGACAATCCTGCAGCTCAGTCCATTAATTGGTAAACTAATTAAATAATAACATGTAGATCCACTCAATAAAAGATTTCAGAGACACTGAAAAGTTAGATCCGTAAGCAGTGATGACAGATATTGGAGATGCCATCTCTAAAGTGAAAAAAATTAATTTTATCCAAACCAGAATAAAAATACATTCTGGTGTCTGCATAAAAGCATCCTAATACTCACTTCTGAAAATTAGTCTACTACCTAACAGTTGAGAAAAGAAATTTATTAACTTGATAAACATTAAAGTCAGGCACACATGGATTCGTATCCTACCTCCAGCACTTTGGGGCACATTACTTACCTCTCTCAACCTCAGTTCCCTCCTTTGTATACGGGAGAAAGAAAACAGAGAATTTACCTCTTATGTTTTTTGTTGGTATTCACGTGAACTGCTTTATACAATCATTGGTACGAGAATTTACCTCTTACGTTTTTTGTTGGTATTCACATGAACTGTTTTATACAATCATTGGTACGTAATGACTCAAAAAAACAGATACTACCATGAGCAAGAAAGAGACCCTCCATATCCCTTTACCGTCTTTATCCCTTTACATACTTAAAACCTTTTTCTGGATTCCTTTAAAAAGTAACTTAGCAATTTTTTCTTGGATGCCCGCAGTATGAGTCACCAGTTAACAAAAACTCTACATAGTAAATAAGAAGTTTCATTGAACTCCACTACCAGCCTGACTGAATTTTCTGATCTTCTCTAGCCTCAACTTTAAATACACATTTTCAACGCAAGCCAACAGTTTACGCACTATTCAAAGAAATTTTGGTAGAATATTAATGACTATTTTTTAGATGCTGCCATGAAAGAATCCATAATGCACTAATGCTACACTCTAGCCAGAGAAGTAATTACAGAATATTGAATATGAATATGAATTTACTGTAGTGGAATGTCAAACAGGTCTGTATTATTTTGTACTTAAAAAGAATAAAAATTCCTGTATTTTCTATTTTGTACCACATATTTGCTCTTTCAGTATCACATCCCTGCCATCAACCACCTTCTCCCCACCTTTTTTAAGTAGGCTCCACACAACCAACGTGGGGCTTAAGTTCACCACCCCGAGACCAGAGTTACACGCTTTTCCAAATAAGCCAGGCAGGTGCCCCAGGAATCTTCCTTCTTCTAACAATACTATGAAAGCATACCTCAACCTGATTACAGGGATCGATTTATCACCCTTCCTACGGTAAGATGGCCAAAAGAAGCATCTAAAACAAAGAGGTATCCAAACTTTTCCAGTATCTACAACTATTTCAGTTCAGTATTGCTTCAATAATAAAAATGTTATTACCCAAAATGTAACTCAGGATCTATTAAAGGATGACAGTATCAGTAGAAATTTACATTTTCTAATAAAGAAAACAGAAGACCACAAGAGAAAACATTAGTGCACCACAGATGTATGACTATTATTTTAGTTATACTAACTATGTGTATACAAAACATTATGTACAATTTACTTTTTATTGGGTCCCAATCAACAGCTCAAATGTCAATGCCCTATGACACATATAATCAACCACATGCAGTTTAAAATTTCACCACATGATGGGGCTAAAACTCTACACACCTCAGAAAACTACTAAAGTCCACTTCTAAAAATATCTTTTTATTTCAAGTCCTCATGCCTTTGAACAATAAATAAAGACTTCCATTACACTGAAACAGAGAACCCCACAGTAAATTAGTCTGTTCCATTTATACAGGGTAAGATTAAAAGGGCTCTGGCAAATAAGAGGTTAATTATAAATGAGAACCCATGAATAGTGATTTGGAGACATGAAAGGATAAGATGGAAGGTGTAAGAAGTCATTACTAAAAGCTCTATATTTATCAAAACCACATTGGGTAAGGTCTAAGAAATAATTTCAAGTACTGCTAGTTAAGAGTTCAAATAAATACCATTTTCTGTAGATAAATTAGAATAGATTAGAATAATTGAGATTTAGAGGTGGCAATCCCAATTCTCAAAATCATCATTCATGAAGACCTATATCCAGATTAAGGGTCAGGTTCTGGAAACTGGAAAGCAGTAAGGATTTCACCACATAAACCAACAGTTAATCTTAATCAACCAACAGCTACTCCTAATCAACCTCAGATTAACATCTGAATGAAGACAAAAATTATTCTCAATCTTACTGTTTTGTAACTCACTTCCCAGGTGCTAATTTTTTATCAATTCCCTTGAAAATGAAAACAAGTGAGAAAGTAAACAAATAGAAAAAAGAAATAAAGGTGGGTGGCAGGAAACTCTACATAGTCAAGCTCTGAAGTAGGCCTGAAAAAAAATAAGCCTGCTAGAGGGCAACATTAGAGCAGCTGGGTTTACAAGGAAGTGGGGAGGGGAGTAAACTACACAGACCTACACCTAAGAGGAAAGGGGGCAATCAGAGAATCTCTAAGAAGTGTTCTCAGTAGCTTAATCAATATGTCTCCATTTCCTAACAATTTCAAATCCATGAAATGAGATATTTAATCATCTGACAGCATTCGAAAATGAGACCTACGTAAAGAGTACAGAATAGGAAATGCATCCTGGATTCTAGTCTAGGCTCACAGTATTTCTATGAAAAACAGGCAAGTCAATTAACCTTCCAGAGAATCCATCTGTACAAAATTACAGGCCAAAATTTGGGTCAATCTATTATGATCTGACAAGTCCTTACTGGGGAAGGACTTTCCAAATTATAAAAATTGTTCCCATAAGAGTTGCTTTTAATAAACTTGTTTTTTTTAAGAACTGCCTGTACCTCAAAAGTTCCTAGATGAACGCCTTAGCATGATAGAGCATGACTAACAGGCAAACAGATGATCAAAACTCTCCCCCTTGATTCCTTTGCACTATGGAAAAAACAAAGTCAAAGACAGCTATTAAGCCAGTTAGACTGGTTCTAACCAATTCCAAAGGTCTCTCTTATCAAGCCTTTAAGTGGAAGACAACTACAATGCCTAGCAAGTCTTATACAAACTATTGTTCTGATTTTTAAGTAAAATGAACATTTCTTAAGATTACTGAGGCCTGATATGTAACAATGTTGCAAAGTTTTCATCACTCCTGAAATTTTAGTGATGTGCCATTCAAAATCTTATTTGTCTAAAAAAGAAATCTTCTGGGTATAAGCAAAGACCTCAAAAGCCTCAGATTTTTCTTTTAAAGTATTACCTACAGAACAATAAGTAAAGCAAGTTATTATCTAAGGAATAGTACAGATAAAGGTAAGACACAATGTATCTAATGGGTTTGAGTTAAAATGTGTGGACCTCTGACTAGTACAAAAGACAACTGAAGTAAATGGTACAGTATGGTGATGGAAAACTGACTTTTTAAATAATAAAAACTAACAGATTCCGTATGAAATAACTTAGATAGTAATACAAGAACATTTTTTCCACAAAAATATTAAGGCTTCACGTTTCAACTACATTTGCGTACAAGAAGAAATGAGAAGCAGACACAAAGAAAGAAATGCAAAGAGTACCTTTGTTGATGATGGTGGAGTAGGAAAATTAAGCCAGGCTGGTGCAAAGTCATGCTGCGCCATTTAGGTCCAGTCTCTCCAACTCAGTGAAACAAGGCTTCAACACCTCATGGCAAGTCCCTGTCATATAAAAATGGAAGGAAATTAGACCTGGAGCTCCTTGCCAAAATTATCTTCTTATGCTCTATCGCTTCTAAGCGACAATGATTTTACTACTCTAAGATTCCAATTATAATGAAATTCTAAAATAGGCAAAAATATAACAGAAACTAGATCACTGGAGTGGATGGGGGGAGAGGGCTTGTGGGGTAAGGGTATGACTGCAAAGGGAAGGTTATTCTTGAGGTAATGGGGGTTTTATCCTGATTGTGGTTATACAAATGTACAAATCTGTCAAAAATCAAATTGAATACTTAATATTGACCAATTTCACTATAAATAATCTCAGGAGGGCGCCTGGGTGGCTCAGTCGTTAAGCGTCTGCCTTCGGCTCAGGTCATGACCCCAGGGTCCTGGGATGGAGTCCCACATCGGGCTCCCTGCTCGGGAGGCCTGCTTCTCGCTCTCCCACTCCCCCTGCTTGTGTTCCTGCTCTCGCTGTCTCTCTCTCTGTCAAATAAATAAATAAAATCTTAGAAAAAAAATAATAATAATCTCAGGAAACCTTATTTTTTTTTAAATTACTATGGTCTAATCCCAGATATCAAGTGTCTCTAAATGTGACAAACTAGGATGCACATTACACCATCTATAATGTATTCTCACCCCCACCCCAGATGGAATCTGAAATCTGACCTAACTTTCACGAAGTTCAACACAGAGAAACAAATTAAAGGAAATCTGAGGGAAATAATCCAGCAAATCCAGATCACAGGATACTCGACAGGTGAAATGATCGGTTTTTCCCCCCAACAAATAAATGGCTTTCAACATGCAGATCAAACACATGTGGGCCTTACACAGATCCTTACTCAAACCAACCTTTAAAAAATGAAAATTAGGAAACAATCAAAAATTTAAACATGAACGGAACACTAAATGACATTAAGAAATTATTACTCATTTTAGATGTGACAATGTAGTGTGATGGTGGTAAATAAAAGACTGAATGAAGTCTTTACAATTACACTGACGTATCTGGAATCTGTTTTAAAAACCAGATAATGCTATGGAGCACTGGGTGTTATGCACAAACAATGAATCATGGAACACTACATCAAAAACTAATAATGTAATGTATGGTGATTAACATAATAAAAAATTTTTAAAAAATAAAAACCTGATAGTGCTAAATGGGGATAACTGAAAAAAGGTTGCACATATGTTTATAAATGACAGTACAAGGAGGTGTGTAAATACTCTTTTCTCTAGTTATATATATGTTTGAAAATTTTCACAATGAAAAGGTTTGTTGTTTGTTTTTTAATTACAATCATCACAATAAGTATCAAATATTTTAGACACTAGTGCTTTTCTGCATTCTGAATTTAACTTTCTGGGAGCCTCTATCGACTGCATCAATAAAAGTTTCAAGTTGCCAGCCCAATCTAAACAGCAAATTCAGTTTTTGGTTTTTTTTTAAATAAGGCAGAAGCCAATTGGGCAACTGTACTCATTTCAATACAACGCTTAAGACTATCACTCAATGAAGGAATCAAATTTTCTGTGCATCACAATGTCTGAGTTTACTAATAACAAATGTTTTATATTTACAACTGCATAATCTAAAAAGTGAAATTTTAAAAAACAAAATCAATACCACTGTTAATCTTCCCTTTTCCAAATTCTTTCAAATATTGTTTCTATGAATCCTTTAACGTCATACCAACTTGCTAAAATACTTTAAGAAAAATTCTCAAATATTATAAAATATTCTATTTTTACTATCCCAAACCGTAGAGATCTATTTAACAAAAGGTTAAAAGTAGGGACGTCTGGGTGACTCAGTTCGTGAAGCGGCCGCCTTCAGGTCAGGTCATGATCCCAGAGTCCTGCTCCTTTTATTTCTGGGGGCTCCTTGCTCGGCGAGGAATCTGCTGCTCCCTCTGCCTGTTCTGTCTCTGATATATAAATAATCAATATATATATTAATATATATCAATAATCTGATATATAAATAAATCAAATCTTTTTGAAGAAAAAAGTTGAGTGGCCAGACACAAGAAATGGACACAAATGGTAACTCACCAGGGTAATGAAAATGTTTAAATGGTATAAGCTTATATGAGCCATGAGCTGATGGCTGAAAAACCTTGATACAATCTGAGTACCCTGAGACAACCAATGCCAGTAATACATTTGTGAAACAAATGTAAGAGTGCACCTAATCAAAATAAACTACATAAAAATTCAGGCACTCTAAGCTCTAATTCTATTACCATCTTATACTACATTTTGAAGTCTTCAGAAATTAAAATGCAAACTAAAGTGTTTCTGGATGAGTAAGGATTTTCATTATCTATTCTTACACGAAGCTACATACTAAGCTGCTTTGTGATGTATATAATAGGATGTTACTTTTCCAGTAAGCTTTTGTTGAAAAGCCCTAAAATTACAGTTTTAATAACTAAACGGGAATGAAAACCCATTTAGTGTGTATAAAAAAAAAATTGCAGACAATCTGAAATAAATAAAGCTTATCATTTTAAATAGTCAAGTGATAAGTTATATACTAAAAACAATCCCTAGGAGACAAACCAATAATATTACCTATTCATTTTTGCAATGTCTTTAGAATTTTTAATTTAAATTTAGTTTTAAAAAATAAAGTATGAATAGCTAATGGCAAAAGTTTTCACATTCTGAAAAAAGGTAAAGAACACTATTAGCTAATATTAAGGCATTTACACAAGTGAGAAGGAATCATGATAGGGCACCCCAAAATATGCTACTTTAACGTAAGAAATAGTTTTGAGCTGAAGGCATTTTAATTCTTGCAATGCCTTATCTTTCTGAAAGCAGAGCCTCCAAAAAGAATTTATCAGTCCCCTCCCCTGGAGCAACTCTTCCCTACAGACACACACACAAAATCAGCACCACACCCAGACATTGCCACAAACTATCATTTCTCCCATCTATTCTCCTAAGGGCCCATTTACCTATCTTTCCAAAAAGTTAGGTTTTTCCATTAAGTGCCCTTCCCCTGCTCACCATGGAATTAGGTAAAGAGTTGGCAAATTCTAACCACCCCTGAGTTACTCGGAGGTAGGAGCACACTCTAATAAACATCTATTTGTTTTCTTGTTAATCTTTCTTTTGTCAGTCTAATTTACAGGGCCCCAAGCCAGGGAACCTAGAAGGACAGAAGAAATTTTACCCCCTTACCTGTATAAAGCCAAATTAAACTTTCAAAAGTGCCACCCTATCAATTTCTTTTAACTACACTTAGTGCCATCCAAATTCATTCTATCTTCCTTTCCCTGTGTAATATTAGGAGCTGAATTGTGCCCCTCCCACTATGTCCAAGTTGCAAGCCCCCAACTCTGAACAGAACCATTAATAGTAGATAAAGGCTTAATGAGATTAACTTAAATGAGGTTGTTAGGGTGGGCCCCATTCCAATCCTGTGTCCTTTTAAGAGGAGGAAGCTGGGACACATTGAGATACCAAGGCTGCACAGAAAGAGACCATGTGAAGAGGCAGCAAGAGGGTGGCCATCTGCAAGCCAAGGAGAAAGAGGTCTCAGAGGAAACCAACCATGCTGACATCTTGATCTTGAATCTGAGCTTCCAAAACTATGACAAAATCAATTTAACCCACTCAGTTTGCAGTATTTTGTTATGGCTTCCCTAGCAAATGTTAAAAGAAATAAAAGGCCCAAAAAACTGAGTGACCTCTCCTCTCCTAAGCCCTGCATTAACAAACCAAGACTTAATACCTAACCTGATTACACTTTAAGACCCTCCCAGAAAAAGGGGCACATGGGTGGCTCAGATGGTTAAGCATCTGCCTTAGGCTCAGGTCATGATCCCAGAGTCCTCCCATCCAGCCCCCCGTGGAGTCTGCTGCTTCTCCTCCCTCTCTGCACCACCCCCCCCGCCCCCCTGCCATGCACTCTCTCTCAAATAAATAAAATATTTTTTTAAAAAATACCCTCCCAGAAATGAAATCTTAACTGGTCAGTCTGGAATTTCCTGGTCAGCAGTAGTGAGGTAATCACCTGACAGACCCCTTCCACCATTTCCTTACTAGGCAGGATGACTTTGGCAAGGTAGACTGTTTCTTCTCTTCACTAAAATTAGGTAACTACTACTTACCTTCAACTTGGAATCTACTAAAGTTCTAAAAAGACAACTACCCTTTCTTACCAGACTATCTACATACAACCCTTTAAAAAGGTTGTTTTTCATTTAGCCAAACTGCTCATAATCCTTCATTAATAAGAACCAAAAGATGACTTTTCAAATTCAACTTTAGTTCTCTTGAAAATAAGCCTGTGAAATGCTCCTTTCATATAAGCTTAGTTTAATATATTAATAGATTTCATTTAAAAAGTGGGTCTTCCTCTTCCTGATTCAGGACTAAAGTCATTTATATGAGGAAACACAAGAGGGTTCCAGACTGTGAAGAGTCAGAGTAGGGATGAAAGGGTATCAACACCTGGGAGTGGCCCAGCACAGGATGTCAGTGTCAAAGCAGGGTAAGGAAGGGTATCCATGCAGGGACAGCCAGGGATGAGGCACTGAACCCAAAAGAGTGGGGAAGGCATGGGGGGGGGTGGCAGGGGCAGTTAGTGAGAAGAGTCAAGATGCTAAGCAGGCAGAGGTGAGTGTCCACATGTGGGTGGTGGCAGTGGCTACAACATAAAATTGATTATATACAGGGGAAAAGTAAGTATTGAGAATAATGAAAGCTAAGTTTCATACTGTGAAAGAACGCAGTAGTAACAGAAAGGGTGAAAACTAGAGTGAATTTTGCAGTGTTATATTCTATCAGTACCATTAATGATTAACACAATCATATATTAATAATATTAAAATACTTACATTCACATATACTACACAAAGATAATATTTATGTATATGTACCTCTCCCAACTCTGCACTGAGAGGGTGTGAGCGCAGTGACTCCAATAAATGAGCATACTTAACACAGAATCTTGGCTTCTATTTTTTTTTTTT